CGATAGGGGGCCGATTATATTGTGTATCCCTACTTGTAAACTGACTCTTTAAACCCTCTCTGAGTTTTTCTTTTCAGAACCACAAATTTCAAAGTGCCTTATTAGCATTTTGAGCAAAAACAACTACTGGATAATACGTCTCACGTTCAGTGAATAGAGTTGATCGTATTATTTAGTCTATGAGGTTTTGTAAAACTGTTTATTATCATGGAGATACATCATCTGGAAAAAGATGCTCCTACCTGAAGACTTAAAAACCTCAGCTTTTTTTACTCATCATGCAAAATGTTTACAGCAAAATACAAAACCATCTCCGTAAGGATGCTTATTTTCCACAGAGACAGAGAGGAGGGTCAGATGGATGGATGATAGCACATGCTTTGGATAGGTGGAAGAGGGGTAAAGCTATGCAAAGCACACCTGGAAGAAAACCTGACAGAGGACGTAGAAGACAAGACTGGGGATGAAGATTATCTTTCAGCAGAAAAACAGTAGCCAGAGTCCCACAGAAATGACTTATATCAACTAAAAGCATGTTGTTATTCAGCAAAAATGACCAAGTCAAAGTCTAGTGCTGAATCTAGTTTAGAATCTGTAACTTACAAATGTAATTAATCTGCCTGGGCTATTTTCCAAGTCCAAAATCATCTAAGTAGAAACATTTAAAAAGCCATTTATGTTTAATACACTGCAAAAAATAAAATCTAAATAAGTATTTTTTCTTAAAATGAGTGCATTTTTTCTTGAATTAAGAATTGAAGTGAGACACTTTGCCAATGGAACAAGACAATTTACACTTTAAATAAGAAAAAACAATTGTATTGTCTTATTTCAAGTGCATAATATCTAGATAACGTATTTTAAGAGTAAAAATACTAATTCCATTGGCAAATCATCTTATTTACCTGCTCAAATTAAGGGTAAATACACTTAATTTAAGACATTTTTACTCATTTTGAGATCGTTTTTTGCAGTGTATATTTTGCTGATCTAGAATATCTGAAGAAAAAAGTTATTTGAAAGTTTAAGTAAAAAAAAAAAATCCCAGTAAGCTACCTAGACTGAAATGAGATAGTAGAGGGACAGCAGCAGCAGCAGCAGAAGCAGCAGCAAGTGTCACCCGGTCCTATAACATGGGGAGGGCTCTGGAGTTTAAAACTGTGTGAATATGATAGCCCATCTGGAGCCCTTGGTCCTGCTTATGCAAGTGGAGATCTCCATGCACTATTGAAAGTTGACAGTTCGGAGGCACTAATCTGACAGGAGGTCGGTGTGAAAACAAAACACACAACGTTTTTTGGACATAACAACTGCAGCTGCTTGGGAGGCAAAAAAAAAAGAAACTTTAATTTCATCTTAAAGTGGAGGACCCGCATGAGAGATTGATTTTGGAGGACAAAGGCAGACATCAGGGAGGTGAGTGGCGGGTTTACCCTCAGAGGGGGTAAAAAAAAAAAAAAAAAAAACATGACTGTAGTGTCCCAGGACAATAAGGACGAGGCTGTGACTATCACCCCTTTGTTACGCGATGCTGCAGACTTGGAACCTGCGGACCAGGAGTGCAGCGAACGGGTGATCATCAACATATCGGGCCTGCGCTTCGAGACGCAGCTGAAAACACTGTCGCGCTTTCCGGCCACGCTGCTGGGGGATCCGCGTAAAAGGACGCGCTTCTTCGATCCGCTGAGGAACGAGTTCTTCTTTGACAGGAACAGACCAAGCTTTGATGCAATCCTCTATTATTACCAGTCAGGTGGGAGGCTCAGGAGGCCCGCGGGTGTACCTGTGGACATTTTCCTGGAGGAGCTCAAGTTTTATGAACTTGGAGAGGAGGCTATAGAGCTGTACAAGGACGATGAAGGGTTGCCGAGGGAGGAGGAGCGGCCACTGCCGAACAACACCTACCAGCGGCAGCTCTGGCTCCTGTTTGAGTACCCAGAGAGCTCCGGACCCGCACGCTCCATCGCCATTGTCTCTGTTATGGTTATTTTGATATCTATTATTATATTCTGCTTAGAGACTTTACCGGAGTTCAGAGAGTTGCCCCCAGAGCCAGAGCAGCACGCAAATGGAAGCGCAAACAGCAAAGCGCCCAATCCCTTCACAGATCCCTTCTTCATGGTGGAGACGCTTTGTATCGTGTGGTTCTCCTTTGAGTTCACCATGAGGTTCCTGTCTTGTCCCAGCAAAGCGGCGTTCTTTAAAAACATCATGAACCTGATAGATGTGGTGGCCATCGCGCCCTACTTCATCACCCTGGGCTTGGATCTGGCGGAGCATGAGGGCAGCAGTCAGCAGGCGGCCTCTCTGGCCATCCTGAGGGTCATCAGGTTGGTGCGCGTCTTCAGGATCTTCAAGCTCTCCAGACACTCCAAAGGCCTGCAGATCCTGGGCCAGACTCTCCACGCCAGCCTTCGGGAGCTGGGGTTGCTCATATTCTTCCTCCTCATTGGAGTTATTTTGTTCTCCAGCTCGGTTTATTTCGCTGAAGTTGAAGACCCTGACACGGTTTTTTCCAGTATACCTGATGCGTTCTGGTGGGCTGTGGTGACGATGACCACGGTGGGCTACGGAGACATGTATCCCTCCACTATCGGAGGGAAATTCGTTGGATCCTTGTGCGCAATCGCCGGAGTGCTGACCATAGCTCTACCTGTTCCTGTCATTGTGTCAAATTTCAACTATTTCTACCACAGAGAGAACGAGGAGGAGGAAAATGTGCAGTACATCCATGTGACCTGTGGGCAGCCGGAGCACCATCCCTCTTTTGGGGAAACGGATTCCATAAAAAGCGACCAGTCTCTCTCCAAAACCGAGTCCTATCAGGAGAGCGATGAGCTGGGAATCCTGACTCATCCAAACGCAACTCAGCCAGTGAATTACGCAGGGCAGCTGACAGATGTGTAAACAGGAAACGAGTTGTTTCTGGTGAGTTATGGTTACTAGTGGTTTAGGATTCCAGTGAGACCTGACCAGTTCAATGTTTTATGGAAACCTTGGATACATTACTGAAGTCAAGCCAGCCCTCACTTGCTCTTTATTGGTTACCCATATGAAACAGTGTACCAACGCTGGCTTGGACTTTTTAAAATAAAGTTTAACGCTTATTAACTATAATTAGTTATAATTTACACCCAAATGGTCTAAAAATGATGTGCTTCTGTGAATATGGATATACAAAAAGGATTTTGATTTTTTTTTTTTTTATTTAGTTAGTGTTTTACATTGTTAAATTGTGCACTTTATTTCAGAATAGGGGAGTGTTGGACTAGTGGTTAGAGCAGTGCGCTTTTGCTCTGAGGAGGTTGCAAGTACCAGGTTTGATCCCCACTCCACTCTGGGTGACCTTTAACCCCACACTGCTCCCCAGGCGCCGCACAGTGGCAGCCCACTGCTGCCCAAGGGGATGGTTTAAATGCAAAGTGTGAATTACAAAATGTGAGACTAACAGCGGTGTCAAAAGTACACACATTTGTTACACATCCTCTCCATGACACACTGGTCCAGCAACCCAGTCTCATGGGAAAATGTACCTCCACTACGTTGGTCCACACTGCAAAACGTAGTGGAGGTACATTAATGGCCATTTTTTTGTGGTACTGTTACATTTCTTCTGCCTATACGCTTTCTATTGTTTTACGTCCTAGTCACGTGACATGTACCTCCACTACGTTTTGCAGTGTGGACCAACGTAGTGGGGGTACATTTTCCCATGAGACTGGGTTGGGTCCAGCAGAGGAGCTACTTCAGCAGAAGACTCCTATCCAGATGCACCACAGAGCGCCACAGGAAATCATTCCTACCTGTGGTCAT